CCTCGATACAGTCTTCCAAGTCGTCGTACAATAATGCGACAGAGTCTGCCAGAGCTATACGAGACAAAGAAGAGAGATCTTCTTGAAGCACTAGGCAGGATTGATTACTGCTCTCTGACAACTGATTTATGGACATCAAGAGCAAATATGGGATATATAACAGTTACCTGTCATTTCATCACATCAGATTGGTCCCTTAAATCAGCTGTTTTATCGACAAAACATGTTGATGAGTCCCACACAGCAATCAATCTTGCTGCGATCCTCAAAGCCATCACAGATGAATGGAATATAACTGACAAAGTCTGCTGTGTAACAACTGATAATGCTGCAAACATTACAAATGCAATCAACCACAATTCATGGAAAAACTTACCATGCTTCGCTCACAAGATAAATCTTGTTGTGACAAATTCACTTTCTGAGCTACCTGAATTGTCATCGTTGATACAGTCAGTGAAGAACATTGTCAGCTATTTTCATAGAAGTACAAAGGCTTCTGACAAGCTAAAGGTCATTCAAGCTCGACTCAATTTACCAGAGCATAAGTTAATCCAACATGTTGACACCAGATGGAACAGCGTCTTCTATATGCTACGAAGGTACTTGGAGCAGGATGAAGCAATTCGAACAACACTGTGCCTTCTCAATCGTAGTGACTTACTCATAGCAAGTGATAAGACTGCAATACTCAAAGAAGCTGTTGATACTCTTCAGCCATTTGAAGCTGTCACAACTGAGATGTCATCAGAAAAATATCTGTCTGCTTCAAAAATTATCCCATTAGCAAAATCACTTATGATGATATCCAGCCAAAAAACAAGCGAATTAGCAGCAAAACTCCTTCATCATACAGTGGCGGAGCTGGAACTAAACTGATGCCCGGGCCCGGATGTGGGTGTGTCCACTTTCTAACTTTTTCTTTGGGTATTTTACTTGAAAAGTGCTTGCTAATTACTTATATGCACCTGTATACCCTTGTTAGTACTCTGGTGAGGCTTGTGGTTGGCTTTATCTAAACTTTAGGGAAGGAATTGTTTACATTGCATCTAATGAATATCATTACAGAGCTTTGATGCCCGGGCCTAGGCCCGGGTGGGCCCGGGTTCAGCTCCGCCACTGTCATCATATGAGAGGTCGGTTTTTTAATGTAGAAAACAATCCAAT